GGGAAATATGAATATAAACTTTAAAAAAGAAAGGCTAAACCAGAAAGTGGAAGAGGAAGGACAGGTGAAAAAAAAATTGGTGGATCTGAACATATCGTGAAAAGAGTGGAAAAGTTCATCATGAGAAGGCTCATTATGCTCCAATGGGCGACGGGGGGATGCTGGTGGTTGAGAGGCCGTGCCCCTTGGCTGGCATCCACAGACCTGGAGGGGAGAAACCGTCCCTTTTAAAGAGGCAGTGCAGCACAGTGGTGAGGCGGGTAGATTTTGCAGCGTTACTCCTAGGTCTGCATCTTGCAAACCGTGGGCCTTTGGTCAAGGGACTTGACCTTCCCAGCTCAATTGGTTGGGTGTTGCTCCAGGTACGGAAAGGTTGCTGGTTGGTTCCTAGTCAGGGCACTTGTTAGGGTTTCTGGCTCAATCCCCAGTAGGGGGTTTGCAGGAGGCACCTGATTGGTTTCTCACATCAATGTTTCTCTCCCTCTCTCTTCCTCTCACTCTAAATATCAATAAAATAATTTTAAAAAATAGTACCTACCTGGAAGAGTTGGCGTTGTGAGGTTAAATAAGTTCATACACAATAGCGGTTAAGCCTGGCCGGTGTTGCTGAGTGGATTGAGCGCGGTCCCATGCACCAAGAGGTCGCCGGTTCAATTCCCAGTCAGGGCACATGCCCAGGTTGAGGCCTCAGCCCTTCAGGAGGCAGCGGATTGAGGTTTCTCACTCGTAGATGTTTCTATATCTCTCCATCTAAAATCAATAAAAGCGTTTTTAAAAAGAAAAAAATAATCATTTTGTTAAAAGAATATAGTGGTAATTTTTCAAACATTCTAAATTTTTTTAAAATATATTTTTAAATTTATTTTAGAGAGGGAGAGAGGGAGAGAGAGATAGAAACATCAATGACAAGAGAATCATTGATCAGCTCCTCCTGCACGGCCCCTCTGGGGATTGAGCTGGAAACCCAGGCATGTGCCCTGACAGGGAATTAAACTGTGACCTCCTGGTTCATAGGTCGATGCTCAACCACTGAGCCACACTGGCTGGGCTTCAGACATTCTAGAGCCAAAGGGCAGGGATACTAAGCCCAGTGATTGGGGAAGCCCTTTGGCATTCACTGGGCAGATAATTACTGAACACTTCTTAGGTGTCAATCACTTCTATAGTAGGGAAACAGAAAGTAAACACACACACACACACACACACATCTTTGCCATCAGGGAGCTTACTGATAGGAAGTTCATTGATGATAAACGCCATGGAGAAAAATAAAGAAACACAGATGGGGAGGGAGAGGAAATGGAAATATCTCACAGCCAAGATTTTTCAGCTGAAACCTGGAAGGCTTGAGGAGGGCGGGAGTTGTGCCTGTCTCTGTAGAGGAGGAGTGTTCGAAGAAGAAGGAAGAGAAGCACAAAGGTTTTGAGGAAGGGGCATGCTAGGCATATTTAAGGGACGACAGGAGGCCAGAGCAGAGAGAGGTGAGGGAAATGAAGGCAGAGGTAGAAGGGGCCAGATCCTAGGACAGGGGTGGGCAACCTTTTGGTGAGTGCGTGCCGAAACCAGCAAAATCTCTGACTCAAAATTCTTCTGCGTGCCAACCCTAATTTTTTGAGAACATGTTACGCCTACTTGATATCTCTTACGGTGTACGTATGTGAAGAACCTTGAAGAAATAATAAAATTCATTTGAGCGACAAAAACACAGTATATGATGATGAAAAATACATTTTTTTTTATGTATAGAGCTACTACTTTGATCCGTCATGCTACTCCTATTATGAGACTTAACAAAATTCATCACTGAGAACAAAGATTCACAAGCGTATGTGGATGAAAACATGGAGAGTAACTCCGTTGCAAAGATTTTTTAAACAGAAAAAATTTTCTGGAATGGCATTCCAAGTCCTCAATAGTTCGTTTTCGACACTATTGAAATTGCCCTTCCCCTCTCTCGTCAATCCATGTTTCTGGTCTTCAAGATAACTTGTTACGTAAAATTATTTATTTATCTAAGATGCACCTACAGTGAATTTATCTGAAAAATAAGAAAGTCAATATTAAGGAAAAAATTGTAAATGGAAGATTATAAGAGAGGCTTTCCCGTGCCAGCAAAAGTTACTGGCTGCCATGTTTGGCACGCGTGCCAGGGGTTGCCCACCCCTGTCCTAGGACGTCTTCTAGGCCTTGGTGAAGATGTTGGCTTTGACTCAAAGCAAGATGTGGGGGTGACGGGCAGAAGGGAGACTAGGAAGCAGGCTATTGGCTAGTCATTCATTCAGCAGATACCTGTGTACAGTATATATGTTCCTTTTAAAAGATGCATCTTTTTTTAAAATATATTTTTATTGATTTCAGAGAGGAAGAGAGAGGGAGAAAGAGAAACATTAATGGTGAGAGAGAATCATTGATTGGCTGCCTCCTGCACGCCCCACACCGGGGATCGGGTCTGCAACCCAGGCATGTGCCCTGACCGGGAATCGAACCATGAAGTCCCGGTTCATAGGTCAACGCTCAACCACTGAACCCCTCCAGCCGGGCTCTTTTTGTTTGTTTGTTTAAAATGTATTTTTAGCCAGCACCGGTTTGGCTCAGTGGATAGAGTGTCAGCCAGCGGGCTGAAGGGTCCCAGGTTCGATTTTGGGGTGCCTTGGTTGCAGGCATATCCCCAGTAGGAGATGTGCAGGAGACAGCTGATAGATGTTTCTCTCTCATCGATGTTTCTGACTCTCTATCCCTCTCCCTTCCTCTCTGTAAAAAAATCAATAAAATATATTTTAAAAATAAATAAATAAAATGTATTTTTATTGATTTCAGAGTGGAAGGGAGAGAGAGAGATAGAAACATCAGTGATGAGAAAGCATCATTGATCCACTGCCTCTCCCATGCCCCCTACTGGGGATCAAGCCTGCAATCCAGGCATGTGCCCTTGACCAGAATTGAACCTGGGACCCTTCAGTCCACAGGCCGATGCTCTATCCACTGAGCCAAACCAGCCAGGGCAAGATGTATCTTTCTGACCTTCCTCAAATTTTGTTTAACGGTTTATACAGTACCCGTCAGATCTTTTCCCATGGACAGTCGCAGCTGTGTTTATCTCATACTAGTATTTACTAGGTGTCCAACTCATCTACTCTCAGCATCGTCCTGGGAGGTAAACACTGTTACCACCTCTGTTTCACAGAAGAGGAAACTGACTCCAGTCACTCTGTGTATACATACACAAACTTGACAAAATGGATTGACTTGCACATATTCTGTGGTACAACAGGCTGCGTGGACATCTTTTTATAATACTACACCAACACCCACCAACCTGTTTTTATTGTTGTTATTTAATCCTCACCTGAGGACGTGTAGAAAGAGGAAGAGGGCGAGAGAGAGAGAGAAATAGCGATTGGTTTGTCTTCGGTATCCTCCCGACCATGACTCCAACCCACAACCCAGGTATTTGCCCTGACCAGGAATCGAACTTGTAACACTTTGGTGCACAGGCGATGCTCAACCAACTGAGCCACTTCGGCTGGTCCGCCAAAGTGTTGGGTTTTTTATCGTTTCCTTTCTCTTCTACTTTCAGCCTGCCTTCCTTCCTTCCTTCCTTTTTTAATATATTTTTGTTGATTTCAGAGAGGAAGGGAAAGGGAGCGAGAGAGATAGAAACATAAATGATGAGAGAGAATCATTGATCGGCTGCCTCCTGCACACCCCCTACTGGGGATTGAGCCCCAAACCCGGGCATGTGCCCTTGACCGCAATCAAACCTGGGACCCCTCAGTCCGCAGGCCGATGCTCTATCCACTGAGCCAAACCAGCTAGGGCATCTTTCTTTTTTTAATCATATAGACATAACTCCCTCTCTTTTGTAAAAGGGGAACACGCAGTAAACATTATCTTCCACTTTGCATATTTTCGCTGAATGCATGCTGAGGCCCACAGTTTATTAGGGTATAGAGAGTGTCCTCATTCCTTTCCCCCCCCCCATTCCTTTTTACAGTGCGTAGTATTTCATTATGTAGATATATCATAGTTTTTTAGCCAGTCTCCTTATTTGAGAACGCTCGGATTACTGGTGGTCTTTAGGAATAGTTTTGTGCTTGGTATCCTTCTTATTTCATAATTGTGCCAGTGTGGCTTTGGGACAGATGCCCAAGTCTCCCCTCCCCATCCTACCTGACTTTTTTTTTTCTTTAATTGTTTTTTAATTTATTTACTTTGACTTATTGATTTATTTTTATTTTATCATTAACTTTTAGAGAAAGAGGATGAAACATTGATTTTTTTTTTACAGAGAGGAAGGGCGATAGAGAGTTAGAAATATCGATGAGAGAGAAACATTGATCAGCTGCCTCCTGCACATCCCCAACTGGGGATGTGCCCGCAACCAAGGTACATGCCCTTGACCGGAATCGAACCCGGGACCCTTCAGTCCGCAGGCTGATGCTCTATCCACTGAGCCAAACCGGTCAGGGCGAAAACATTGATTTCTTGTTCCGCTTACGTATGCATATCTAGGTTGTTTCTTGTATGTGTCCTGACCGAGGATCACAGGTGAGGACACAGTCTTATTGCCACCTGTTGAAAAACAGCTCCATAGCATTCTAGAAAAACGGCTGAAACATAATTTCTTTAACTAGGCCGTTTCTTGTGTATTGAGTCCTTACTGTGCAGGACTCTGCAGCTAGTCCCTGTTTTAGAAAGCTTGCTCTGGTGTCCAGTCCAGAGCATACAGCTCAGATGGAGAGACCCTGAGGCCAGCGAGGGGCTCTGTGTGTTCACTGGTTCATCACTCAGCAGATGTCTGCGGTCAGCCCGCTGTGTGCAAAGTACTGGGGGTGAGGCTTGGTGCTGCCTCTGACCCGAGAAACCTCAGTCTCCCCCAAATTACAACCCTCATGTACCCCTACAGTCTGAGACAGACCCTGAGACGGGGAGGGGCTTCGGAAAACCCCACAGGCTGGGAAGGAGGGTGGAGCCTCTGTGGGTGCTGAGGGGAAGGCCGTCCCATCTCTTTCTCCTCCAGGGTGTCTGGGGCGGCGGCCATGGCGGGCAGCAGTGGGGACAGCGTCACCCGCCGGAGCGTGGCGTCACAGTTTTTCACGCAAGAGGAGGGGCTCGGTATCGATGTCATGACCACTTCAGAGAGAGTGAGCACGGAGAGAAGGTCTTGGAGTGGGGGGGCACCGCCCCTGTGTGGGCGATCCACCCCCTGCTGGCAGAGCCCAGGGAGCGCTCAGGGGGCTGGGCTGGCAAGATGAGCGCCACCGCCTGCCTCTCCCCCTCCTTCTAGGTGGTCGATCTCCTGAACCAGGCAGCACTGGTCACCAGTGAGTCCAAGATCACGCTGCTCAAGCAGGTGAGGGGCAGGGTGTCACTGGGCAGGCAGGGCGCGGGGAGGGGCATGGGGAGCTGTGAACAAGAAGACACGTGATGGCACTGTGTCCCCATCCCAGCACTTAGGTGATGCCCGCCATGGTGCTCGGTGCTGGTCAGCCCGCCCTCCTTTCATTCCCACCAAAGCTCTGGGGCAGGGTGATGTCATCCCCGTGTTATAAGGGGAGACGCAGCCTCAGAGCTTAAATACCAGCCCAAGGTCACTCTGCTGGGAGCTGGATTCCAGCTCCCGATCCTGAGCTCTTCACCCGTCATTTCCTCTCTGCCAGGGTCCTGCCCAGTGGGGAAAACAAGCAGGTCACGTGACAGTGAGGACCCAGAGAGCAGAGCGGGAGAGGAGGGGCCGGGGGCTGTGGGGCTCAGGGAGGACTTTCTGGAAGCGGGGGCATCTGAGCTGAGACGTGGAGGATGAGGACGGAAACCAGCCAAGAGTGGGCGGGGGGCTTGAGAAGAGGTCACACTAGCTTGTGCAGAGGCAAAAGAGGACATGGGAATTAGTGTGGGGCGGGGGTGTGGTTCAAAACAGGATGCAGGTGGAGTTCAGAACCCAGTCCTGCTACTTGCTCAGCACGCAGCCTCGTGCAGCTGACTCCCCCTGCCAATGGAGTGGGGTACTGAGGGGCCACCCTCGTGGGAGGTGCCATGAAGGTAACAGCAGCCCCTGGGTCACAGGAGCCAGGCCTGTGCTGGCACCGGGCTGACATGAGCAAGCCTGCGGGAGGCGCTGATTCCAAAGAGCCTGGCCGGGGCCAGGGCCTCAGGCACCGGTTCTCAGGTCAGAGTGCCTGCTGGCCTGTGGCCGTGAGGGTGGGGAGCAGAGCCCGAAGGAGAGTGGGGAGCTGATGACGGCCGAGCCTCGGGAAGGCAGGAGCCTCCAGCGCTTCCCTCTCCTCTTCAGCCCCGTCCGTGTGTCTCACGTGCTCACTGTCCACCAGCACGTGGCCTGGTGGGATCTTAATGAGGCTCCACAGCAGCCCGGGGAGGGGTGTGTGAGATCCCCACGCGCAGAAGGGGCTCGGGAGAAGCCTGCCAGGCCCGGTGCGAGTGGCAGAGCCAGGGTTCGAACTGAGTCTGTCTGCGGCCTGCCCCGTGTCCTTTCCCCACACACTCCTGTCTGCACCGATGGGACCCTGGATTTATGTGGCGTTCCTCCTCCCCATCCCCAATCTCCTTCCAGGTCCAGGAACTGATCATCAACAAAGACCCCACCCTCCTGGACAACTTCCTGGATGTGAGTGACGGATGGGAGAGAGGGTGGGGGGCAGAGGTGAGGGGATGGATCCTGGTACCACCCTGACACGCCTTCTTCCTGATGTTGGCAGGAGATCATCGCTTTCCAAGTCGATAAGTCGATTGAAGTGCGCAAATTTGTCATCGGCTTCATCGAGGAGGCCTGGTATGGGGCCCCGGGAGTCGCCCTCTACTCCCCACCTGGCCCTGCCCCCAGACCTGCCCTCCGCTTCCTAGACCCAGTCTTCCTCCCAGGCACAGACTCCCCAGCAAATAAGTCAGAGTGTTGGAGTTGTCCACGGTAACCTCTGCTTCTCCCACACTTCACCTCCGTCAGTGAGGACCGTTGGCTGTGCCTTCAAAACGTAAACAGCATTTGCCCGTCTCAGCTGCTTCCCTGGCTATCACGCCCGCCGCCCTGGGCGACCTCAGTGGCCTTCTGTCGGCTTCTCTCTTGTTTACAGACAATTAACTGTTTTTAAGTGAACTCTTCAGTTGTGTTTAGCACATTCGGAATCTAGTTCCAAAACACTTTCATTCCCCTGAAAGGAAACACTGTTCCCATTGCCCGCTTCCTCCCGCCAAAAGGTGGATCCCCTGGGCCCTCCCTGCTCCCAGGCCTCCTGGCCACCGCCTCACAGATTGAAACCCACACTCACCCTTGCTCTTCCTGGGCCTCTCCGTCTTCACTCACCTCTCCTGGCCTCCTGTGGTTCCCCAGAAAGTGCTGTTCTGCTTCACAGCCCCTCTGTTTGCAAAGTGTACCTGCAAGGGGCCCGCTCACACCCTCTGCCTCTGCCTCCCTCAGAAGCCCTTCCTGGCCACGCCAGCACAGCCCGCTCCTCTGGCACCCCTTCTGCACTCTGGTTTATTTAAAAAATATATATATTTTCTTGATTTCAGAGAGGAAGGGAGAAGGAGAGAGAGATAGAAACATCGATGATGAGAGAGAATCATTGATCAGCTGCCTCCTGCACGCTCCCCACCGAGGATCAAGCCCACAACCAGGGCTTGTGCCCTGACCGGGAATCGCACCGTGACCTCCTGGTTCATAGGTCGACGCTCAACCACTGAGCCATGCTGGCCGGGCTGCACTCTTCACATTGATCAGCTGCCTCCTGCACACCTCTCACCGGGGATATGCCCGCAACCTAGGTACATGCCCTTGACCGGAATCGAACCCGGACCCTTCAGTCCGTAGGCCGATGCTCAACCACTGAGCCAAACCAACCGGGCTGCACTCTTCTTTATAGTGTTCTTGGCATTACCTTGTTGCATCCCCACAAGCAGGTCAGCTCCCTAGGGCAGGACTTCTCTATTGCAGACCCCTGTGTCCCAGTGGCTAGAACAGTGCTGGCACACAGGAGGGGCTGAATATGTATTTGTTGGGCAAGAATTTAAATCAGAATAGTAACCACGTGGAGTGCTTACTCTGCCACACACTTTAAAAAAATATATATTTCTTTATTGATTTCAGAGAGGAAGGGAGGAGAGAGAGATAGAAACATCAATGATGAGATAGAATCATTGATAGGCTGCCTCCTGCACGTCCCCCACTGGGGATCGATCCCACAACCCAGGTACATGCCCTTGACCGGAATCGAACCTGGGACCCTTCAGTCCGCAGGCCGACACTCTATCCACTGAGCCAAGCCGGCCAGGGCAGCCACACACTCTTAACTCCTGTCCTCTGGTCGCCTGTAGTCTCCACCGTAGCCTTCCGGATGGAGACTTGGTTTTCCTCCTTTTATGGAAAGGGAAAGTGAATGTTAAAGGGACTTGCTCAGGCTGACTCAGTTCTTCATTAAACATTTGCCAGATGCTCTGTGACTGCGAGAAAATAAAAATAGCCTTTTTTTTAGTGAAGTTTCTCATTGTCAGGCACTGTACTAAATGCTTTGCCCACTTTGTTATTCAACTCTCAAAACAATACTGTGCATTTTGGCCCATTTAGCCAAAGATAAAACGGACTCGGAGAGAGGAAGTGAGTTTCTTGAGGTCACACAGCCAGCATGTGGCAGGGCTGGGACTCTAAACCGGGTCTGTAACACCATTGCCCAACGTCCACCTGCTACTCTGAGAATTTGTGCTAAGTTTCTGAGTTGCAAAAAACCCCAGCAAAACGATTTGCTCAGCCGCTGCGTGTGACTTGCCTGCGATGTGCCCGGCATTTGTGCAGGCTGTAGGAATATGAGTAAACACAGATTTTGTTCCTGCTTTCATGTAGCTGACAGTTGAGTTTCATATTTTTTGACTAATTAGCTTCAGGTTGTGTGTGAAATGATACTTACGGTCTGAGTTCTAGGTGTGGCCTTTAATTCTTTTATTATGTTTATTGAAGGCCTTTCATTCTTTCCTTCAACAAAAAAACGAGACTCTGCTAGTACTCAGACTGAAAAGGGTCCCTCCCCTCATTCAGAGCCCTCAGATGTAGGTAAACAAACTAGTAAACAAAACTAGTGATTACGTGCCGAAGCCGGTTTGGCTCAGTGGATAGAGCGTCGGCCTGCGGACTGAAGGGTCCCGGGTTCGATTCCGGTCAAGGGCATGTACCTGGGTTGCGGGCACATCCCCAGTGGGAGATGTGCAGGAGGCAGCTGATCGATGTCTCTCTCTCTTCGATGTTTCTAACTCTCTATCTCTCTCCCTTCCTCTCTGTAAAAAATCAATAAAATATATTTAAAAAATATATATATATATTTAAAAAAAAAACAAAAACAAAAAACTAGTGATTACGTAAAGCAACGTGTTCTAAGGTAGTGACAGCTACTATTAGCCAAATGCTTTCTACACTGTTCTAAGCACTCTTTGCATGTATTGCTGCAATTTTCACAACAAGCTATGAGGGAGGTACTGTTTTAAATGAGACAGAGTTGGTTGCCCAGACTCATACAGGCATCTAGCTCTATTGCCCCTTATTTGAACAGCAGGGGTCTCTTAGGGCAAAGCGGGGGGTGCATGAGTAACGTAGATAGAGGGTTCAGGGGGCAGCTGTGTCCGAAGGCACCAGCCACTGTCCTCAGCGTCCGGATGTGCTGGCAGACGAGAGGCGCACTCCCTGCCTTCGCCCCCCTCCATCCCTCCCTCCTGACACACTGACCCTGACTTCCTTTTCCTCCTGGAGCCCAGGTTCCTCTCACCTGCCCAGAGACAGACTTGATTTGCCCTTTCTCCTCCCCCCGCAGCAAGCGAGACATCGAGCTGTTGCTGAAACTGGTCGCGAACCTCAACATGCTCCTGCGGGACGAGAACGTGAACGTGGTGAAGCGGGCCATCCTCACCATGACCCAGCTCTACAAGGTGGCCCTGCAGGTAGGCGCCCCGCCCGCCCGGGCTCCTGGCTGCACGGCGCATCTACAGACCCACCTGTCAGTCCAAAGCCAGGGTCCGGTCAGATCCTTCCTGAGCAGGAGGTGCTGTTGGTGTTTGGGAACAGACAGCAAGGGACCTGATGTGAATGTCTGCTGGTCAGGGACCACCATGAACCCGTCCATTTATACATTTCTGCATTCAGCAAGCATTTCCCGAGGAGCTCTTCTGTGACCCAGATGGGCCAGTCCTGCTGTCACGGTGCTCATGGCCCAGTGAGAGACATGCCCTAATTAAAGCATCGCAGGCCCCGGACGGTGGGGCTCAGTTGTTTTGAGTGCCGTCCCATGCACCGAAAGGCCGCAGGTTCAATTCCTGGCCAGGGCATATACCCAGGTTGTGGGTTCTGTTCCTGGTCGGGGTTCGTACAGGAGGCAGCTGGTCAATGTTTCTCTCTTACATCGATGTTTCTGTCTCTCCTTTCTCTCTCTCTCTAAAATCAATAAAAACATACTTAAAAAAAAAGAATGACAAATACTAATCTGGGCTGTAGTTAGTGCTATAAGGAAAAGACACTATGGTGTGTTCATTAACGATCACGTAAAGATGAATTCATTTAGTCTCTGCCTCCCCCGCTTATGGTCAGCGTGGTTATTCCTTTGTCTCGCGTCAGATTTGAGCCTTCATCACTCTGGGTGGTCACTGTCTGTGAACCTCATGGCAGGACCAGGTCTGTCTTGGTCACCCCTGGGCCCTGTCCCCAGCGTCCCTCAGCACAGGGCTGCAGGCAGAGTTGTAACCCAGTAAGTGTTTCCCAAACGAAATTTTTTTCTTATTTTTTTGTTTGTTTTTGTTAATCTTCACCTGAGGATATTTTTTCCATTACTTTTCAGAGAGAGTGGGTGGGAGGGAGAGACGGGGAGAGAGAAAATAACATCACTGTGAGAGAGACACATCAACTGGTTGCTTCCTGCACGCACCCTGACCAGGCAGGGAGCAAACCCGGGATCCAGGTAGGTGCCCTTGACCCAGAATTGAACCACAACCCTTCAGTATGCAGACTGACTCTGACCACTGAGCCACATTGGCCAGGGCCAAGTGACATTTTCATCATCGTTCATGGGTATCTGGGTGTGGCAGAGTTGGCGACTGATGTCTTGTCCCCCTTTCTGTCTGTGCATCCCTCCCTGGCCGCTCCCAGTGGATGGTGAAGTCGCGGGTCATCAGCGAGCTCCAGGAGGCCTGCTGGGACATGATGTCCGCCATGGCTGGGGACATCATTGTGCTGTTGGACTCCGACAACGATGGTGTCCGTACCCACGCCATCAAGTTTGTGGAGGCCTTCATTGTCACCCTGTCGCCCCGCATGGCTGACTCGGAGATACCCCGACGCCACGAGCAGGACATCAGCCTGGACCGCGTGCCCCGGGACCACCCCTACATCCAATACAGTGAGCACCCCGTCCGCTGCGCCATCTCCCAGTCACTTCCTCTTCCTCCCCCTCCCTTTCTTCTTGGTTTTTCATTTCCGGAGACAGTATAACGCAGTGCTTCAGCGCCTGAACACTAAGTTCAAATCCCAGCTTCACCACTTACATACCACTTACTACACTCCTTGTGTGAACTTGGGCAAGTTCCCTCTCTCCGAACTTCATTTTCTCTGAGAAATGGAGGTGATGGTAAGACCCTTTACGGTTGGTAGTGAGGCTCCATGAGGATATGAGCGCTTAGTAAATGCTAGGTTTTCCTGTTGCAAATTATGAAAGTAGCACCCTGATACTACTGAAGTGTCGAGCAATAAAGGTGGAGGGGTCAAAGGGAAAGTATCCTGCAGTCTTGCTTCCCAGAGGTAAGTACTGCTAAGAATGCTGTTTCCTTCCAGACGTTTTCCACGCGAAGACAGATACTTGCCCGTATGTATTCCTAGTTTCTACGTTTGATGACTTTTTTGTTTATAGAAAACAGGACTTGCTTTAGATTTCCAGCTGAGAGATATTAGAGTGTAGTGGCTTGTGTTTGAATCTCGGCTCTATTGGGGAAGCAACCTATTCTGTTTCTTCATTGATACTTGGGGGTCATTATATACGTTAGGGTGTGAGAAATTAATGTGGCTGCTCTTCTTCCGTGTTGTTTGACAGCCTGTTTAACTCAACAATATTAAGTTTTAGCTTTCCCTATGAAAATCATGTTCACCCTGGCTGGTGTTGCGCAGTGGATAGAGCATCAGCCCACACACCAAAGAGAAATGGGTTCAATTCCCAGTCAAGGGCATGAGCCTAGGTTGTGGGTTTGATCCCCAGCACCAGTCAGGGCACTTGACAACTCACATCAGGCCACATCCCCAGGTTGTGGGTTTGATTCCCTTGTGGGAGGCAACGATCAATGTTTCACTCTCACATCAATGTTTCTCTCCTTCTGCCTCTCTCTCTCCCTCCCTCCTTTCTTCTCTCCTTCTCTCCCTCCCTCCCTCCCTCTCCTCAATTCCACTTTCTAAAACTCAATGGAAAAAATATCCTCAGGTGAGGATAACAAAACAAAACAAAAGAAAATCATGTTTAATTGCTACACAATATTCCATAGTACTGTTACATCCCATTCAATTATTTATTACATTTTTATTGATTCAGGGAGGAAGGGAGAGGGAAAAAGAGAGATATAAACATCAATGATGAGAGAGAATCATTGATTGGCTGCCTCCTGCACACCCCACACTGGGGATGGAGCCTGCAACCCGGACTTATGCCCTGACTGGGAGTCAAACCATGACCTCTGGTTCCTAGGACCACGCTCAACCACTGAGCCACGCCAGCTGGGTTTATTCCATTTTTTATCCAGTGTTTTTGCAAAGAAAGATAACCACCAAAGTTATGAAGGGTTAACTTTTGGGGACTGGATCGAGGAGACGCTGAGTTCTGTGTGTACGAACACACATGTAAGTCCTCAACGTTTATATCAACATAGTTCACCCAGTCAGATTCTGATGGTTGGATATTTAAAGTTATTTCATGTTTTGAGCAGTCTCATCACTACATCTTTATACTCACTAAGTCTCCAAAGACTCATCAGTACTAAATGTTGCGTTTTTCAGCCAATCACAGCCATCCACGCACAGGGTCTCTTTTCCTGTTGACCTCATAGGCTGCTCTCTCCTACTGACTGGTTCCCTTCTCTCCCTCATTAGACGTGCTGTGGGAGGAGGGGAAGGCAGCCTTGGAGCAGCTCCTCAAGTTCATGGTGCACCCCGCCATCTCCTCCATCAACCTGACTACAGCGCTGGGCTCCCTCGCCAGTATCGCCCGCCAGAGGCCGATATTCATGTCCGAGGTGATTCAGGCCTATGAAACCCTGCATGGTAGGTTGGTCCCCCCGCTTCCCTCCCACCACCCGGCCGTCGGCTCTTTCCTGAGGAAATGTGAGCGCTAGGTGGTGGACTCCTGAGAGACCCATCATTAATTTAGCAGGTGGTGGGCACAGAGAAGGGCTCTCTGGGTTACACAGGAACCTTTCTGTTGCGTGTGACAGAAGCCTGGTTCAATGCTGGTTTAATACTGCGGTACATGTGGGTGAAATGACATGATGTCTATGAAATACCTCAAAATATTCCAGCCTCTCCTCCCTCTCCCCAAAAAGCAGGGAGGAGGATACATGTGTCAAAATAAGCAAAACGTTGATGGGTGCATGGTGATTCGTTGTACGTTTTCTCTGCTTTTGTGCACATGTCAAAACTGGAAAGTTGAGTTGAGATGTGAGTGCGTCAGATCACAGCTCTGACTCCATCTGTCGGTTTATTTTCTCCATGTTGGGGTCCGTCTGTGCCTCTTCCCTGGGGGAGCAAAGATGGCCCCCAGCAGCTCCCGGGTTCCCTTCTGTTCACCTGGCAACCCCAGGAAGAGAGTGTCTCCTTCCCAGTCATTCCAGCACCAGTCCATGACCTGTGTTCATTGTTTCTGATTGGCCGAGAAGCGATTACAAGCCTGTATCTGAGCCAATCACAGTGGCTAAGGAGTTGCTGCGCTCTGACTGGCCCGAGACTTTGCCCACTTGGACTGAGAATGGAGCCCGGGTGGTTCCCTCAAAGGAGGATGGGAGTGTTGTTGGCCGAGGAACGGGGGAAGGACGCTGGGCAGGCAAAGCTACAGGCATCCTCCTTTGCTCTGGAGCAGGGGAGGCTCGCTCAGCAAGGTGACTGTTAGGCACTCCACAGTCATTCTGCTGGCAGGGACCACAGGGAGCTGTGGCAGCAGCTCGGTCGGGCCATTCGGGAGGGGAAGGTGATGGTTATAGTCATCCCCAGGGGAGGCATGTTCGGATTTCCAGTCCAGAGATGGAGGGAGATGGGATTCTGTGTGATAAGGGGAAGGGTACGTTTTCTCCTTGGCGTCGGGTTGTAACACTGATGAAAACCTCTCGGGGCTAAGCTTAAGCTTGCAGAGAGGGAAGGCTGCCCATTCCATTGGAGAGGGAAGAAACTTTTAGGAGATGCCTGCAGGCACTGCTGGGGCTCGGGAGTGAGACTGAGGCCCCCGAGCTCCGTCCACAGCAGGCACCTCCTGTTTCTCCTCAGCCAACCTGCCCCCCACGCTGGCCAAGTCTCAGGTGAGCAGCGTTCGCAAGAACCTCAAGTTGCACCTGCTGAGTGTGCTGAAGCACCCAGCCTCCTTGGAGTTCCAGGCCCAGATCACCACCCTGCTGGTGGACCTGGGCACGCCTCAGGCCGAGATCACCCGCAACATGCCCAGCAGCAAGGATGCCCGAAAGCGGCCTCGAGATGACTCGGATTCCTCGCTCAAGAAGATGAAGCTGGGTGAGCTGAGGAGCCGCGCGGGGCCTGGCAGGAGGGGGTGACAGGGGCTGACCATGTTTAAAGGGTTTCAGTGATTTCACTCAACTAATCTCCATTTTTATTAATATTATCAATTACATTGTATAAATGTGATGACATAATAAATGATACCAAAATAGAGTTATCAAAGTTAGAGTATAGTCTAAAGTAATTATGAATTACTTAAATTATACAGAAAGGAACAGAATAAAAATAGTCTCCCTCTTGCCCCTCTCCCCAGAAGTAACCACTCCCCAAGTATTACACTCAGCCTCATATGTGTAGAATTCCCCTTTCTTTTGTTTCGTTTAAGTGGGTTTTCTTTTTTAAGTAATTCTTAATGGTCACATTACTTACCAATAGTATCAATCATGGCAACCTTCCTGACTCGCAAATTTTCTAAAAATCACTTATGTTTGTTTCTAGAACATGTATGAAAGGTGTGTGTGTGTGTGTGTGTCTAGAACATGTATGAAAGGTGTGTGTGTGTGTGTGTGTTTTGTTATTCATTTAAAAAAATAAGGAATTAATTTTGATATAAGGAGTGAGGTAGGGATCTATTCTTCCCCCGCCCCCATTATTAAGCATACAAAACAGAGTGTTCTATATCTTAATTTACTGAGTAATCATCTTGGAGCTCTTTCTATATCTGCACATAGAAATCTGCATCCTTTTAAGGGTGGAGTAATCATCTGGAGTGCATGTGGGTCATTTTAACTAGTCCCCCTGTTGATGGACATTTCATTTTTTAAAGTATAAAGATTTCTATAGTATAACAGTCTTGCAAACGTTTCCAGTCACAGGACAAATTCCTAGTAATGGGACTGGTGGGGCAAAGGCTTTGTGCATTTAAAGTTATATTTTGTGCACCAATTTTGTTTTTCTATTTCTTTTAACTGTTTATCTTGAAACAATTTTGAACTTGCAGACAAGTTATAAGAATAGCACCAGAACCTCCCGTGTACCCTGCAGGAGGCCGAGCCCCCATGGATGTCACTGTCATGTTTATTCAGTCTCAGCCTTGCTCTGCTCACCTTGGCACGGTGAAGAGTCCAGGACAGCTGTTGGCGGATGCCCTGCCTTTGGGTCTGTCTGCTCGTGCCTCCTGAGTGCATTATTCAGGTTCTGTGCCTTTAACAGGGACAGTGCAGAAGCGGTGCCCTGCCTGCGTGGCATCAGGCGGCACAAGGTGTCGGTCTGTGCCGTTTTGGTGATGGGACTTGGGTCGCTTGGTTTCTCTGGTGTGAAAGGACCCCTTTCCCTTGCACATATGGGCTGAGGGAGACACTGTGTAAAATACCTGTTTCTCTTCAGACTTTGACCCAGGGGTCTTAACATCCATTGATGATTGCCGTCTGCATTGTTACTGCTGTAATGGCTACAAAAAATTTCCCTTCTACATTTATTAGTTGGAATTCTTCTAAGGAAGAGTTTTCTTCTCACTTTATTATCAGTATGGATTTGTGGATTCTTATTTATTCTCTGGGTTATGATTCATTACTGTTGTCATTAATTTTGCTGCCCAAAATGCCTTTATTGAGCCTTCGAGCTGGCTGCTGTGTCCCTTTAATGTGCTCTATAAGTTTTGTTTGTAATTGATTTTAGAGAGAGAAAGCAAGAGGGAGAGAGAGAAACATCGATAGGTTGCCTCCTGCATGCACCTGGATCGGGGATCGAACCTGCAACCTGCGTATGTGCTCTGACCTGGAATTGAACCCACCACCTTTTGGTCTACAGGATGACTCTCCAACCAACTGAGCCACTCTGACCAGGGCCTATACGGGTTCTTTTAGTGTTCTTTATTTTTGATGTAAGATATTCTGGGCTCATCTTGTACTTTCCTTACCCTAGCCTTGGAATCAACATTTCTCTAAGGAGCCCTGGTTTCTTTTAGATATGGAATAGTTTCAGAGATCATATCTGGGAGAGAGGGAGATCAAATTTGTGCCCATTGCTGCTGGTGCATTTAAATGCTTGATGCCCATTGCCAAACTGTTGTCCAAAAAAACTGCACTGGGGTTTACACCAGCACTCTTACCAGCCCTGGACATTCTGTGCAACCTCTGGGTATAAACCGTACCCTGGGTTTATTTGCTTTCTTACTTCAGTTGGAGTCAGGCTACACATTGTTTTACATTTATTATCCGTTTGCATTTCTATGAAGTGCCCATTATTGAGCTGTTCAACCTTTTGTAATTAAGTTACATGTGCCTTTGGTTAATGCACCATCACAAATTACTTAAATGATCACCCTGTCGAACATTCCAGTTTTTCCATTTTTATAAAGACAACTTCAAGGAACATGACTGTTCGTGAACGCTTCTTTCTAAGGTTCACATGATCGGTGTTTCTCCGTGAGCTTGTGTTCAACCAGCCTGTTACTACTGATGGAGACTGTGTCACCTCTCTGTGCTGTCCGTGCCGTGAACTCTCTGTACATTTATTTCACCTTGAAAATGGATAGACGTTTTCAGAGTAGATATCTAGAAGCGGAATTCGGTCTGTCGAGGAGATGTTCACATTTAAAATCTTGACCTGCTAACAAATTGCCGTTCCGAAAGCTGTACCAGTTTACATTTCCACAGTCCACACCCTACTAACAACTGTCATACCAACCTTTTCTTTTTTTTCTTTTTTTTTAATATATTTTATTGATTTTTTACAGAGAGGAAGGGAGAGAGAGAGTTAGAAACATCGATGAGAGAGAAACATCGATCAGCTGCCTCCTGCATATCTCCCACTGGGGATGTGCCCGCAACCCAGGTACATGCCCTTGACCGGAATCAAACCTGGGACCCCTCAGTCCGCAAGCCGATGCTCTATCCACTGAGCCAAACCGGTTTTGGCCTAACCTTTTCTTTTTTAAATATGTTTTTTATTTCAGAGATGAAGGGAGAGAGAGAGAGAAACATCAATGGTGACAGAGAATCTTTGATTGTCTGCGTCCTCCTACATGCCCCCTACTGGGGGATCGAACCCACAGCCTGGCGGGTGCCCTGACTGGGAATCAAACCTGCAATCCCTTGGTGCATGGGACAGCGCTCAAGCAACTGAGCAGCCCAGGCTGAGCAACCTTTTTGTTTTTCTGTCCATCTCAGAGGCAAAAGTGCTCGTACTGGGTGGTTTTTACATTTCCCTGAACCTGGTGAAGCTGAGCACTGTTTCAAAGATAGAGGTTTTTAAACACTAAAGCTCTGGAAATGATTAGTTAACCAGTTTTTATCTTCTTGGAGCTTAGTGTGATCAGCTGGGCTGGGCTGACTTATTCCCATTTCCCGGATGAGAACTGAGGCCTAGAGAGAAGCAGTTAGTTCCCCAGGGTCACATGGCCCTTTGATGGCAGAGCCGGGCTGCAACCCAGTCTTCGTCCACCGCACGGCTCCTGTCCGCTGAGGCTGCCCGGAGGCCAGGGCCCCGGCTCCCGGGGAGGAGGGAGGACCCGCTGCCTCTCTAGAGCATCTTGTCTCCTTCTCTCTCCCAGAGCCCAACCTGGGGGAGGACGACGAGGACAAGGATCTAGAACCGGGCCCATCGGGGACCTCGAAGGTCTCAGCCCAGATCTCGGGCCAGTCAGACACAGACATCACAGCCGAATTCCTGCAGCCTCTGCTGACACCCGAGAATGTGGCCAACCTGGTGAGGAAGGGTGGGGGCTGCTCCCCACTGGGCGGGGAGGAAGGGCCTGTAGTCCTTTTCCTGCCTCCACTCCACACTGTCACCTCTGCAGGTGGCATCAGTCCTGAAACAAAGGGGGTGTGGGCCAGGGGGCCCGTGGACCTCTTCTCTGACCTTTACTCCTTCGGGGTCACTGGTCACCACCCCCTGCAGTCTCTCTTTAGGTGGCCTGAGCTCCCATCCAAACCCACTCCCTCTCCCTCTCACCCAGGGGCAGGGGTGTATTAACAAGAGTTCACCCCATGACTTGTGTGCTAAGTGGTGTGAGATCACTGGGGAGCAGGATGGCCAGCATTTTCCTCAGATTCCCCAAGTGACCCTGCTCCACAGGAAGAACAGCTGGACTGAGCTGATTGGGGCTCGGGGGAGTGAGTCTCACCTGTCGTCGGGCTGTCGCAGCACCAGACCTCTCTGTTGGGTGCTCGTGGAAGAGTGCGTCTTCCCACGCTGGTCAGCATTCACCCTCAGCCTCCCCTTCTCTCTGCCTGGAGACCCCACGGGGTTAGCTGTTAGGAAAGGGGTGGAACTTCTGTCATGATCGCGGCGAGAAGGAGTTTGCTCTCTGGTGAGCTGCAGGCCTCGGTATGCAGCTATCTCCTGCATCTTTCTCGGATGTTCCACAGGCATCTCAGGCTCAAAACGTCAGGATAAACTTACGACATTTCTCTCTGCAGGCCGTGGCCCCTCCTGTTCTGGCACACCAGCCCCCTAGTTGCTAAGCCAGAAGCCTGGGAGTTAAGCTCTTTGCCTTCCCCCGATCCTGCCCCTCTTCTCCATCCCCAGACCCGGCTGGTCCAGCCCCACCCTTTCACCAGCAGCACCACCCGCCTACTTCCTGGCTGGCGCATTTTTCTAACATACAAGTCGTGACACTTCCCTGTTCAGATCCCTGCCATGGCCCTCTGTTTCCTTGTAGGTAAAACTTAAATTCAACCTGCCTCAGTCCCTGTCTGATGTGGCTTCCATTAACTCGTACCTTGTCCATCCTTGTTCTACTGGGAAATTGTCCTTTTCAGAATAATTGGCAGGACGTTGTTTATAGGATTCTTATGCTTTTACAATACCTGCTGTGGTAATGTGCCCCTCTGTGTCCGTACTCTTTTTTCCTTCCTCCCTCCCTCCCTTCCTTCCTTCCTTCCTTCCTACTTTCTTTGAATGTTTTTTCCCACAGTTTTAAGTTATATTCTTGGTTATTAGTTTTCTGTCTTCTTTTCCAATATAAGCACTTAAGTATGTGCTTAACCTTCCAAGTTTATCTTAGTTTGAAATTATCTTTTGTTTTAATTTCCTGACAGACATGGATATGCTTTGTTAGGATACTGATTTTTGTTTTTTTAAGCGAATGTCTGGTCCATGTTCTATTTCTTACTGAACCTCCTTCCCGTCTTCGGGCAGGGCACCGGCTCTGTGCCTCCTTGCCTCCACCCGTGCCCCTCTTGTACCTGGAATACATACCCCTCCCACAGCAAGACTTGGCCCTTTGCCAGCTGGATTCTCATCCTCCTCTCAGTTCTCAGCCTGGGTGCCAGTCCCTCAGGGACCCAGAGCTGTCCCTGGCCCTTGTTCCCCCGTCACACACCATGCTGCATCATTACTCGTGGCCCCTCTGACTGCCCCAGGGGTCTGAGCTCCATGAGAGCAGGCCCAGGTCTGTCATGGTCACTGCCATTTCCCCAGGGGCCTGGGCATGGAGCCTCCCTTATCCAGTCAATGAGTAAGGAAAGGCTGCCCTTCCTGGCTGTCCACAGGTCCTCATCAGCATGGTGTACCTGCCTGAGGTCATGCCTGCCTCCTTTCAAGCCATCTACACCCCAGTGGAGTCGGCAGGCACCGAAGCCCAGATCAAGCACCTGGCTCGGCTCATGGCCACACAGATGACAGCCGCAGGCCTGGGGCCAGGTGAGTGTCACACGGAGCCGACTCCGACCAGGGACTGGCCCTGTGCCTGCTGGTTCCTCCTACTGGAAGGGCCCTTCCTCGTGGTGGAACAGATGAAAATCACATGAGCTTTTAGGTGTTAATAGTTAGAGATCCACAGGGGGCAGCCGGTCAGTGATTCTCAGCATTGAAGTTTCTGTCCCTCTCCCTTCCTCTTTGAAATCAATAAAAGTATATTTTAAATAATAATGAATAGTTACAGATCCTGGAGATCTATTAGTGCTCAGTATTTTAGACCCTGAACTTTGAAATCCGACAGACAGGTTTGATGTCTACGTTGAATCAGACTGTCTCAGTCACTCTGGCTGTGTGGAGTGGGCTAAGTTTCTTAACCTCTCTGAGCCTCAGGTGTTTTTTTGTTTTGTTTTTTTAATATGTTTTATTGATTTCAGAGTGGACGGGACAGGGAGGGAGAGATAGAAATATCAACGATGAGAGAGTCATTGATCGACTGCCTCCTTGCACGCCCCCTACTGGGGATTGAGCCCGCAACCTAGGCATGTGCCCTTGAGTGGAATTGAACCTGGGACCCTTCAGTCCGCAGGCTGATGTTCTATCCACTGAGCCAAACCGGCTAGGGTGAAACACAGAACTCCTACTAGTAAGTGTACACGTAACTGTTAAGTGTGAATTTTTACAAAGTGAGCACACCAATGTAAGTACCACCTAGACGAGGATGCAGTGGGAAGAGAGAGACATTTCTACCCTAAAAAGTTCCTTCTGGTCAACACCCCCACACCCTCCCTCCATAGTGCTCATGGCCGTGATTTCTGTGTCCGAGATTAGTCTTCTCTGGTCTTGAACTTCGTATAAACGGGTCGTGGAACGTCTGACCTCGTGTGCTCAGCAGAAGCTCTTGAGGTTCATCCATGTTGTCGTGTGAACCGTAGTTGACATGTTCTCGCTCATATCACTCCCTCCGGTGCAGTCACCGTTGGTTTACCCCCGTCCCACTGGTGCACCTGTGGGCTGTTTCCGATGTTGGGCCGTGTGAGTAAAGCTGCCGTGAACATTGTACATGTTTTGATGCACACGTGCCCTCGTGTATCTTGGGTTGTTGGGTCATGTGTCAGGGTGTGTTGGTTGCCATCAAATGTCCATCCGCTTCCCAAAGTGGCCGTCCATTAGCCCCTCCAGCAGTGAGTGGCATTTCTAGTCGGAGCCTCCGTTGTTGTATTGCCAAGTGATACAAAGCCTGCTTGTTCCAGACATGCATTTTGCAGGTTTAAATGAGTTTTGTGTGTCTGAGCCTCAAATAGAGCCTGGTGCACGGGAGGTTCTTCTCTCTCTCTCTCTCTCTCTCTCTCTCTCTCTCTCTCTCTCTCACACACACACACACACACACACACACACACACACACACACACACTCACACACACTTCAGAGAGGGAGAGAATCAGAAACATCAGTGATGAGAATCATTGACTGGCTGCCTCCTGCATGACTCACACTGGGGATCGAGCCCACAACCGGGCATGTGCCCTTGACCAGAATGGAACCTGGGACCCTTCAGTCCACAAGATGATGCTCTATCCACTGAGCCAAACCAGTAGGGCTGATTTTTTCTTTTCTTTTCTTTTTAGAGAGTGGAAGGGAGGATTAGTTGCCTCCTATACCCACCCAACCAGAACTGAAGTTCGAGCCTGCAACCCACTATGTGCCCTTGACCAGAAATCGAACCCACCACCCTTTGGTGCCTTGGTTGATGCTCTAAGCACTTGGCACACTGACCAGGGCCTTAGTAGTTTGTGGGATTTTTCTGCATAAAAACATCCTCTTATATATAAAATTGGGATATTATCAATCTCTAAGGATCAAGAGAGACTTAAATTGAGTTCACAGTCGTGGTTAGATAATTAACTTAGGGTTGAGAGTGATCATGGTTCCTAATGTGTCGTACGTAAGTGCTGCTGGTTGTGACCATCGCTGTCCCCATTATTACCTCCCTCACAGACCCAAGATCCAGCTGGTCCCTACCCAGTGTCCCGTCAGCGGGGCCGCCTGGTCTACTGCCCCTCCGGCTCTCTGTTCCCCTCTCGGTCTCCACTTGAAGGCCTTTGCACTTGCTGTTCTCTCTGCCTAGGATGTGTGCGAATCGTCCCCTCTCTTCATTCAGATCTCTGCTCCCTCATTGCCTCCTCATGGCCGCTCTCCTGCGACACCCTGTACACAAACAAGAACATTCTCCTCATCATCATCCTCCTCATCCTCATCCTCATCCTCCTTCTCCTCGTTACCCCGTGCTCCACCGCGCCTCAGGGTCACAGGGGCGTCAGGCAGGCAGCGTGCGGTGTCTCCGTGGCCTGGAGACACGGCTGGGCCCGAGCTCCGGAAAGGAGGTTCTGAGTCTCTGTCCCTGTCGTCTCTCCCACGTAGGCTGGCGGGTGCCGGGGGGCGCAAGAAGATCTTCCGTCTGAGTGACGTCCTGAAGCCCCTGACGGACGCCCAGGTCGAGGCCATGAAGCTGGGCGCTGTGAAGCGGATCCTGCGGGCTGAGAAGGCCGTGGCCTGCAGCGGGGCGGCCCAGGTGCGCCCTGTCCCCCCAAGTCATCTTTCCAGTCCCTGTCCCTGGAGCCCACCTCACGGCAGAGAGACGCCCCTCCCTGGCTCATTCCCAGCTCGGCCGCTCGCCAGCCGACCACTTCTCCAAGCCGCCTGCCCTCCACATCCACGCAGGTGGTTGGGGAAGGAGTGCGTGGACCGCGCGTGCTCTCACTCAGCACAGGGCTGGCTGCGAGGAGGAGCCCCACATGGAGGGCTGCCATTGTGTTCTCCGTGCTTAACACTATTTTTATTTTTATTTTTTAAATATTTATTGATTTCAGAGAGGAAGGGAAAGGGAGAGAGAGAGAAACATCAATGATGAGAGAGAATCATTGATCGGCTGCCTCCTGCACGTCCCCTACTGGGGATCGAGCCCGCAACCCAGGCATGTGCCCTTAATCGGAACCGAACCTGCAACCTTCTGATGTACAGGACAGTGCTCCAACCAGATGAGCCACCTGGCCAGGCAGGTTTGTTTCATTAACCAAGTAGATATCAGCAGTCTGTTAGAAAAGGCCTCCAGCCCTGGCGGGTGTGACTCTGTCGCCCGAGCGTCCTCCCGGGCACCAACAGGTCTCCGTTCTATTCCTGGTTGGGAGACATGCCCGGGTGTCAGGTTCAATCGCCAGTCGGGTTGTAGAAGGTACGCAAACCATTGGTGTTTCTCTTTTCCTCTCCCTTTCTCTCTAAAATCAATAAAAGTATATTTTTTAAAAAATAAATTTTTAAAGAACTCCAGGCTATAGATATCTGCACCTCCCCCACACCCCACCCCCCATCCCTAGGCAAATTCTGGAATCCTTCAGGATCTTTTTCGGTGTATTTAAGTGCATGGGTCCTCCTCTTAGAAACTCATTTTATTCTATAATGTTTGATTTTTTTTTCTCCTTTTCATTTGTTTACCCCAAAATGGGACCTGCTGGGCATAAGGCTCTTCACCGGGCCTTCCTCACTAACCTTGGGTCTGCACTGGGCACGCTGAGCCTGGGCGGGGGCCGCCCACTGCATGCCACGCGCTCGCTCTCCTGCCAGGTGCGCATAAAGATCCTGGCCAGCCTCGTGACGCAGTTCGATGCGGGCCTGAAGGCCGAGGTCCTGTCCTTCATCCTGGAGGACGTGCGGGCCCGGCTGGACCTGGCCTTCGCCTGGCTCTACCAGGAGTACAACGCCTACCTCGCCGCCGGGACCTCGGGCTCCCTGGACAAGTACGAGGACTGCCTCATCCGCCTGCTCTCCGGCCTGCAGGAGAAGCCAGACCAGAAGGACGGGTGAGCGGGCGGCCTGCACCCTCCTGTCCCCAAGCAGACCCCTCCTGCGTCCCGGCTTCCCTCTCCAGGTCCTGGCCACCGCCCTCTCCCCGCCACCCAACCAGCCCTGCGTGTGTCCGTCCTCCCTCCTCTCCCACTGGCTGGAGGCCCAGAGGAGGGCGCGCGGTGTGGACTCTGGTCACACCTGGGGGGCGTGATCTCCAGCTCTGCTGTTTGCCCCCTACGGAGGCCGTCACTCACCCTTCGGGCCTCTTTTTCCCACCTATAAATAGCAGTGCCGGCCCATCTCTCCCCGGTTCTGTGCCTGCCTCTGTGTTCTCAGCCTCCAGCTCATCTATCCATTCTCCACCCCGTAGCCAGGGGACACACTGTAATGCAGATCCTGTCTTGGTGCTTGCCCACTAGAACCCTTCCCTGGCTCTCCATTGCTCTCGGCATGAATTGCAGGCACCTCCCCATGCCCTGGGGCCTTGTGGAATCCAGTCCCTACCTACCTCTTTAGGCTTTTTCTTGCCCCTCTGCTCCTTGCCACCCCCCAGCTTTCACCACACTGGCCTCTGTCATCTATTTCTTGAACGTGCCAAGTTCAGCGCTTGGTACTTCCTGTTCTCCCTACCTGGAATGCTCTCCCCACACCGCATGGCCGGCTCCTTCTCGCCCACCAGCGTTGACTCCATTGTTATCTCTTTTGTGGCCTCCACGTCTAAAATAGCAAACTCCCCCCCCCCCCCTTTCTCTGCTGTTACTGTATTACATGAGCCGAGCTGGGAGTCCCCAGTTGACAAAGGGGAGAAACAGTGTCAGAGCGTGAGTCTCCTCCCAGGTCACCAGCTGGCAGCGTTTGAACCCTCCTGGTGCCCTCAGAGCTCTGCGTGCGCCGCGGCCTCTGAGCTCTGTGGGTCGCAGAACCGGGGCCAGGCGGCCTCTCTGCAGCCGCTCCCTGTCCCTCCCTCCGGCAGGATCTTCACCAAGGTTGTGCTGGAGGCGCCACTGATCACGGAGAGTGCCCTGGAGGTGATTCGCAAGTACTGCGAGGATGAGGTAGGCAGGGCCGCAGACGCCCTCTGTCCCCAGCATCGAGGAGGGGCAGGAGCCCTGCGCACGGCAGCCTGTGGCGGGGACAGGGCCCTGCGTGGGGCGCCCAGCCGAGACCGTGTGGAAGGGGTGTGAGGGCAGGTCCAGCTCTGAGCAAGGCAGGAGAGCCCCCCGAGGCTCCTGCAGGCGGCTTGAGCCCGGCCCCTCCCTCTTGCCAGAGTCGCACCTACCTGGGCATGTCCACCCTCCGGGACCTGATCTTCAAGCGCCCGTCCCGCCAGTTCCAGTACCTGCACGTCCTGCTGGACCTCAGCTCCCATGAGAAGGACAAGGTGATTCCCCACCGTCCCGGGCCCTTCCCGTCCTGAGGGCCCAGCCGGCTCCCACCGCAGGCCCCTGGGCGGCGCCCTTCTCGCAGCAGCTCCTGGGTGGGGGTGGTGTTTCCCCGTATGATGTCATGAGGCTGTTAGGATGCGCACACATGTACACTCACCCTCCCAGGACGGGCAGGTCCGTTCCTGCCCCTCTTAAACCCCGGCGCTGTGCTGGGACCTGGGGCGCTGACCAGGAGAGCAGCCGTGTGACCTGTCAGTGGGCGGTGACACTGTGGGTGGCTGGGAGCCCTGACCATCTGCTGGGGGATGGGCAGGGAGAGGTCTGGAAGGCTTCTGGGGAAGGAGGCGTGGGAGCCGTGTGCTCCGGGCCGAGGGAACGTGTGTGCATGAGCTGAGAGGGCCCTGGACCCATCCCTGCTGCGGCCTCGCGCCAGCCCCTTTCCTGGTGTCCTGTGGCCATTCGCTCAGCAGACCCCCCGTGTCCTCCGGCTCGGCCTGTGGTGCTGCTGGGGACAGTGCCCAAGACCAGCCCCTGTCGGTGCTCATGGCACCCAGCGGGGGAGGTCTGAATGACCCAGGATATGGGCAGTGGCAGGCATTCCAACAGTGGGGACCTCTGCCAACTCCCACAGCCAGGGAGACGCTGTCCCCTTTGAGGAACTGAGGAAAGCTCATTCTGGTTCGGTAGCAAGGCAGGTGACACGGGTGGGGCTGAGCAGGGAGGCGGCGAGGCGAGGGGGACCCGGAGTGGGTTCACAGCCGGGGGCGCAGGTAACTCGGCTGGGCCTGGCCTTTCTCGGTCGTGGGCCCGCTCACACGCGTGCTGCCGGCGTCGGCTCAGCTGCTCCCTCCACCATCCTGCCGCCCCTCCCCGCAGGTGCGCTCCCAGGCCCTGCTGTTCATCAAGCGCATGTACGAGAAGGAGCAGCTGCGAGAGTATGTGGAGAAGTTTGCCCTCAACTACCTGCAGCTCCTGGTCCACCCCAACCCGCCGTCCGTGCTGTTTGGAGCCGACAAGGACACAGGTCTGGTGCAGTTCATCAGATGCCTGTTGAGCACGTGCTGTGACCCCGGCTCTGGACTGGACCCTGGAAACAGCTGGGTCCAACCAAGCCCCGCCCCGCCCTGCCCACTGGGGAATACAGCAGAGTAATAATCAGAACCAGCACGCCAGGATGGCGAAAGCAGGGAGCTTAGGAGCCCAGGGGCGTCTGACCCTGGAGGACAGGAGAGCTAGCCATGGGGCTCCAGGAGGGGCCGGGCAGGACTATCGCCTGTTCCCTCAGCAAAGGCCTGGTCCCCCCAGGACTACAGATGGGGAGACCTGGGCCCTAAGAAAGTGACCCATTAAATTGGAAGGTGCAGGCTGTGGAGGGAAGCACAGGGCCTCCTGGGAGCACAGGTGCCTGCACAGCCTGGGTGCTGGGAACGCTGCCACGAGAGGCACTGGCCACATGCGACCCAGAGGATGAGGAGGTGCGAAAGGAAGAGCTGGGCAGCAGCATTCCAGGCACAGCCTCTCAGTGAGGGGTGGGGGGTTGGGGGATGGGGCTGTTAGAGCACAGAGCCCCAGGGGCAGGGGCTGCCCCACAGGGCCTGGCAGGGGGGGCAAGTTGAGGAGCTGGGACTTAGAGCTGAGGGCACAGGGCATTCGTGTGCTCTGAGCAGGAGAGGGGCAGGGGGAGACCTGCGCCCTGTGGATTGGTGGTCAGAGGGGCCGAGGTGGGAATTCAGTACAGAGGTTTCTAAAAGGCGGGCAGTCCTGGTCCCACCCCATTTCCCGATGATTGGCTTCCTGCCCTAGGACGGTCGGCTTCCAGGGCCCGCTCTCTTCTCTGCCTGCACCCAAGAAGGGGCAGGCACGGGCGGTGGGAAGGGATGGAGAGGAGTGGGCCAGCCTGATCCCGTCTCCTGCCCATCAGAGGTGGCAGCGCCCTGGACTGACGACACAGTGAAGCAGTGTCTGTACCTCTACCTGGCCCTCCTACCTCAGAACCACAAGCTGATCCACGAACTGGCCGCTGTGTACACTGAGGCCATCGCCGACATCAAGCGGACGGTGCTGAGGGTCATCGAGCAGCCGGTGAGCCCCACCCCAGCCCCTCCCCTGGTGTCTCCCCTGTGGGAGCTAAGCTCTAAGGTTTGTCACTCTGGGCCCAGCTGCTCTGCAGCTTGTGGGTTGTGGACACGCCCATCCGTTCGTGAGAAGACAACAGGGTGGCCCCACAGTTGTAGCCTGGAGTTGGGCAGACCTGAGTTCACATTCTGTCTCTTTCTTTTTCTTTTTTTAAAAATATGTTTTTATTGATTTCAAAGAAGGAGGGAGAAAGAGAAACATCAGTGATGAGAGAGAATCACTGATCGGCTGCCTCCTCCACGCCCTCTACTGGGGGCTGAGCCTGCAACCTGGGCATGTTCCTGACTGAGAATCGAACCATGATCTCTCGGTTCATAAGTCAACCCTCAACCACTGAGCCACACAGGCCGAGCTGCCTCTCACTTATTCTGCGAACATGGCAGGGCGGGCGCAGTCCCCGAGTTTGTTGGAGGAATTCGTGTGAACATGTCGTTTACGCGCTGGCCCTCCCCCCGCCTCTGGAGCCGCAGGGTCACCCCCATGAGAGGCAGCCCAGGTGCACCCTGGGACCTGGGACCAGGAGGGTCTGTCCTGCCCGTCTGCCGCTGGATTTGAAACCACTCGTATGTCTCTGCCTCTGACTTTTTTATTACGGAACGTTTCCAACAGAAGCAAAAGGAGAGTGTGGTATCTTAATCCCACCCACCTGCCCCCCAGACCCAGCCTGTCCTTCCCTGTAAATGGGGACGATGGGCTCCTTGTGAGCAGGGAGCAGTCTCCCCGGCCTGGAGGTGAGCCCCTGGAGTGCGGCTCCTTGAGGGCAAAGACCTGTCAGTTCCACTCTGCTCCCTGTGCTGGGTGCTCACAGAGGCAGCAGCCAGCTGGGGCGCTGGCGGCCCCGGAAGCCGGGGGGTGGGGGGCTGGTGTCACTGATGCCTTCGGAAGCCAGAGAGAGCGAAGGTGAGGTTAGGTAGAGATGGCAGTGAGGAGAGGCGTGGCCTGCACGGAGGAGGCTGGTGCTGCAGGAGGTGCATCCGTGTGAGATTGGGTGGAAGAGACCGAGGTGCTCGGCCCTGCCCCTCCCACCTTCCCCAGGTGTCCCCGTTCTCAGAGCACTGTCCCCAGCTCTTTCCCCCACCCCCCAGTTCTGTTGAGATGAAATTGTCCTATAACGTGGTGTTAGTTAAAGGTGTACATCGTAATGATTTAATATATGTATATATTGAGAAATGATTGCAGCAATAAGTTTAGTTAACATCCGTTAAATTTCTTTTTCTAGTGATGAGCACTTTTAAGGTCTATTGTCACCAGTTCTTACCCCAGAGTCCCAGCACCCCCCTCACCACCCTGCCCTTGGCACTCAGGTCCCTGACTTTCCCCCTGGGCCCCTTGTCCTCCCGCGTCGCCCAGCCCCTGGCTCAGGCTCCCTGTCTCCTCTCCCTCCAGATCCGAGGAATGGGCATGAACTCGCCGGAGCTGCTGCTCCTGGTGGAAAACTGCCCCAAGGGCGCAGAGACTCTGGTCACGAGATGCCTGCACAGCCTCACGGACAAAGGTGCCCCCTGGGAGTCCCGCCTGTCACCCTTCCCTCCATTGCCCAAGCCTCCCCTCCCCCTCCCAGGACCTGGGACTAAAGCTGCTGGGTCCCCCGGTGGTTGGACCTCTTGTGGTCCCTCCCCACCCCTGGTCCTCAGTTTCTACATCTAGGACTGTATGGTTAAATGCACTTGAAAAACCAAGGGCCACAGATTCCTGCTCTGAATTGAAGTTGTTCCTCCCCCACAAACCCCCACATCTCTCCCCTCTCAGTGCCCCCCCACCCTCCCCACCCCAACACCCGTGCCTCCTCATTCTGCCTGCTGTCCCGCCCTCCCCGGAGCTGGTGAAGCGTGTCCGGGATCTCTACCACAAGCGGCTGCCCGATGTCCGCTTCCTCATCCCCGTGCTCAACGGGCTGGAGAAGGTAGAGGACGGGGTGCCCCCCTGTGAGCACACTCTGGGGCTTAGACCAGTCTGACCTCAAGCAGCCGCTCCCCTCAGCCTGGATTTTCTCCTGTCCTGAGGCCTAAAGGAAACCACAGGGCAGATGTGTTCCCAGCACGTAGGAACGCCCCCACCCACCCCCCACCCCTGCCCCCAGCATGTTTCCCCGGGATCTTGTTTCCAGCGGGCTGGGAGACCTTGGGTGAGTTCCATCTCCTCGTGTGTGGGGAGGAGGTGATGATGACACTCCATTTGTGGGGGGAGTCAGCGAGCTGGTCCCGGGGGTGAGTTTCACAGCAGGGGCGAGAGGAAGCTGAGGCTGTCACCGAGTTGGGGAGAAAGCTCACCCTGAGGGGCCAGAGGGAGTGAGAGGAGGAAAGGATCAGAGGCCGGAGCCCAACCCCCACCCAGGGGAGCCACAGGCCGCTGACCTGCCTCCCCGCCCGCCCCGTAGAAAGAAGTGATCCAGGCCCTGCCGAAGCTCATCAAACTCAACCCCATCGTGGTGAAGGAGGTCTTCAACCGCCTGCTGGGCACCCAGCACGGTAGGTCAGGCCTGCCCTCCGCTCCCTCCTCTGGGAGGCCCCCTCACGTGGTCAGGCAGGAAGAAGGGTCCCTGAAATGAGGTGTGGGGGGTGGGGGGCGCCTGTGATGCCACCTTTAGGGAGAAAGGGCTCACCCTGCTCCCTGGGGCTGCCATCCAGACTCAGCACCGTCTAAACACCTGTCCAGCCTCCCGCACACCCGCTTCCCCCCCGCCCCCGATCCCCCCTCTGCCTGTGCTCCGTGCTGTGTGCTCTGTGCTCCGTGCTGTGTGCTCCGTGCTCCGTGCTCTGTGCTCCGTGCTCTGTGCTCCGTGCTGTGTGCTCCGTGCTCCGTGCTCTGTGCTCCGTGCTCTGTGCTCCGTGCTGTGTGCTCCGTGCTCCGTGCTCTGTGCTCCGTGCTCTGTGCTCCGTGCTGTGTGCTCCGTGCTCCGTGCTCTGTGCTCCGTGCTCTGTGCTCCGTGCTGTGTGCTCCGTGCTCCGTGCTCTGTGCTCCGTGCTCTGTGCTCCGTGCTGTGTGCTCCGTGCTCCGTGCTCTGTGCTCCGTGCTCTGTGCTCCGTGCTGTGTGCTCCGTGCTCCGTGCTCTGTGCTCCGTGCTCTGTGCTCCGTGCTGTGTGCTCCGTGCTCCGTGCTCTGTGCTCCGTGCTCTGTGCTCCGTGCTGTGTGCTCCGTGCTCCGTGCTCTGTGCTCCGTGCTCTGTGCTCCGTGCTGTGTGCTCCGTGCTCCGTGCTCTGTGCTCCGTGCTCTGTGCTCCGTGCTGTGTGCTCCGTGCTCCGTGCTCTGTGCTCCGTGCTCTGTGCTCCGTGCTGTGTGCTCCGTGCTCCGTGCTCTGTGCTCCGTGCTCTGTGCTCCGTGCTGTGTGCTCCGTGCTCCGTGCTCTGTGCTCCGTGCTCTGTGCTCCGTGCTGTGTGCTCCGTGCTCCGTGCTCTGTGCTCCGTGCTCTGTGCTCCGTGCTGTGTGCTCCGTGCTCCGTGCTCTGTGCTCCGTGCTCTGTGCTCCGTGCTGTGTGCTCCGTGCTCCGTGCTCTGTGCTCCGTGCTCTGTGCTCCGTGCTGTGTGCTCCGTGCTCCGTGCTCTGTGCTCCGTGCTCTGTGCTCCGTGCTGTGTGCTCCGTGCTCCGTGCTCTGTGCTCCGTGCTCTGTGCTCCGTGCTGTGTGCTCCGTGCTCCGTGCTCTGTGCTCCGTGCTCTGTGCTCCGTGCTGTGTGCTCCGTGCTCCGTGCTCTGTGCTCCGTGCTCTGTGCTCCGTGCTGTGTGCTCCGTGCTCCGTGCTCTGTGCTCCGTGCTCTGTGCTCCGTGCTGTGTGCTCCGTGCTCCGTGCTCTGTGCTCCGTGCTCTGTGCTCCGTGCTGTGTGCTCCGTGCTCCGTGCTCTGTGCTCCGTGCTCTGTGCTCCGTGCTGTGTGCTCCGTGCTCCGTGCTCTGTGCTCCGTGCTCTGTGCTCCGTGCTGTGTGCTCCGTGCTCCGTGCTCTGTGCTCCGTGCTCTGTGCTCCGTGCTGTGTGCTCCGTGCTCCGTGCTCTGTGCTCCGTGCTCTGTGCTCCGTGCTGTGTGCTCCGTGCTCCGTGCTCTGTGCTCCGTGCTCTGTGCTCCGTGCTGTGTGCTCCGTGCTCCGTGCTCTGTGCTCCGTGCTCTGTGCTCCGTGCTGTGTGCTCCGTGCTCCGTGCTCTGTGCTCCGTGCTCTGTGCTCCGTGCTGTGTGCTCCGTGCTCCGTGCTCTGTGCTCCGTGCTCTGTGCTCCGTGCTGTGTGCTCCGTGCTCCGTGCTCTGTGCTCCGTGCTCTGTGCTCCGTGCTGTGTGCTCCGTGCTCCGTGCTCTGTGCTCCGTGCTCTGTGCTCCGTGCTGTGTGCTCCGTGCTCCGTGCTCTGTGCTCCGTGCTCTGTGCTCCGTGCTGTGTGCTCCGTGCTCCGTGCTCTGTGCTCCGTGCTCTGTGCTCCGTGCTGTGTGCTCCGTGCTCCGTGCTCTGTGCTCCGTGCTCTGTGCTCCGTGCTGTGTGCTCCGTGCTCCGTGCTCTGTGCTCCGTGCTCTGTGCTCCGTGCTGTGTGCTCCGTGCTCCGTGCTCTGTGCTCCGTGCTCTGTGCTCCGTGCTGTGTGCTCCGTGCTCCGTGCTCTGTGCTCCGTGCTCTGTGCTCCGTGCTGTGTGCTCCGTGCTCCGTGCTCTGTGCTCCGTGCTCTGTGCTCCGTGCTGTGTGCTCCGTGCTCCGTGCTCTGTGCTCCGTGCTCTGTGCTCCGTGCTGTGTGCTCCGTGCTCCGTGCTCTGTGCTCCGTGCTCTGTGCTCCGTGCTGTGTGCTCCGTGCTCCGTGCTCTGTGCTCCGTGCTCTGTGCTCCGTGCTGTGTGCTCCGTGCTCCGTGCTCTGTGCTCCGTGCTCTGTGCTCCGTGCTGTGTGCTCCGTGCTCCGTGCTCTGTGCTCCGTGCTCTGTGCTCCGTGCTGTGTGCTCCGTGCTCCGTGCTCTGTGCTCCGTGCTCTGTGCTCCGTGCTGTGTGCTCCGTGCTCCGTGCTCTGTGCTCCGTGCTCTGTGCTCCGTGCTGTGTGCTCCGTGCTCCGTGCTCTGTGCTCCGTGCTCTGTGCTCCGTGCTGTGTGCTCCGTGCTCCGTGCTCTGTGCTCCGTGCTCTGTGCTCCGTGCTGTGTGCTCCGTGCTCCGTGCTCTGTGCTCCGTGCTCTGTGCTCCGTGCTGTGTGCTCCGTGCTCCGTGCTCTGTGCTCCGTGCTCTGTGCTCCGTGCTGTGTGCTCCGTGCTCCGTGCTCTGTGCTCCGTGCTCTGTGCTCCGTGCTGTGTGCTCCGTGCTCCGTGCTCTGTGCTCCGTGCTCTGTGCTCCGTGCTGTGTGCTCCGTGCTCCGTGCTCTGTGCTCCGTGCTCTGTGCTCCGTGCTGTGTGCTCCGTGCTCCGTGCTCTGTGCTCCGTGCTCTGTGCTCCGTGCTGTGTGCTCCGTGCTCCGTGCTCTGTGCTCCGTGCTCTGTGCTCCGTGCTGTGTGCTCCGTGCTCCGTGCTCTGTGCTCCGTGCTCTGTGCTCCGTGCTGTGTGCTCCGTGCTCCGTGCTCTGTGCTCCGTGCTCTGTGCTCCGTGCTGTGTGCTCCGTGCTCCGTGCTCTGTGCTCCGTGCTCTGTGCTCCGTGCTGTGTGCTCCGTGCTCCGTGCTCTGTGCTCCGTGCTCTGTGCTCCGTGCTGTGTGCTCCGTGCTCTGTGCTCCGTGCTCCGTGCTCCGTGCTGTGTGCTCCGTGCTGTGTGCTCCGTGCTGAGTGCTCCGTGCTGTGTGCTCTGTGCTCCGTGCTCTGTGCTCTGTGCTGTGTGCTCCGTGCTCCGTGCTCCGTGCTCTGTGCTGTGGGCTCTGTGCTCCGTGCTCTGTGCTGTGTGCTCTGTGAGTGATGGTTCCAACCACAGCGGAAACAGCATTGTAGAGCCTGAGGCTGACTCTGTGCTCCTGTCTTCCATTCCCAGGCCCAAGTGCTCTCTCCCTCAGGCATTCTTTTTTTTTTTAATATACTTTATTGATTTTTTACAGAGAGGAAGGGAGAGGGATAGAGAGTTAGAAACATCGATGAGAGAAACATCGATCAGCTGCCTCCTGCACACTCCCCACTGGGGATGTGCCTGCAACCCAGGTACATGCCCTTGACTGGAATCGAACCTGGGACCCTTCAGTCCGCAGGCTGATGCTCTATCCACTGAGCCAAACCGGTTAGGGCTCTCTCAGGCATTCTTGCTGCTCCTCAGCTCCTGCCTGAACCCCTGAGCTGTGGGTGAGGGGAATTTTTCTCAGGGTCAGAAAGAGAGACTTGCCCTGGCAGGTGTGGCTCAGGGGCTGAGTGTCCTTCCTGCACCAAAGGTCACAGGTTTGATTCCCGGTGCAGGCTCCATCCCCGGTCGGGGGCGGGGGGCATGCAGGAGGCAGCCAATCACCAATGTTTCTCTCCCTCTCCCTCACTTTCTAAAATAAATAAAAACATACTTTTTAAAAAAGAAACTAACTAAACGTTTAACGTAGAAAAATTACCCCAGTGGGTGTTGGAGGCTGTTCACACAACCTGATGATTTAGAACATGCATGTAGAGTGTCTGGGGCCCTCAAAACGGCACCTGCAGGGGGCCATCCCCCAGCCGCTGCCCCGGCATCTGTGTGAGCCTCTGCGGGCGCTGCCTGGCCCCGGCCTGGGCTGGCCTGCAGATGCCCAGGTGTGTCCGCTGTGCTGAGGACCCCATGAGCTCATCTAGCCCTGCCCTCGTGGGTGCACAGCCCAGGGGGCGGGTGTGTGTGTGGGGGGGGGGGGCGGACTGCCAAGCCACACTCAGATGTTGCCCTAACTCGGGAACCCAGTGGGGGGTGGAGAGCGAGAGAAGGCCTTGCATTGTGAGGGAGGGCTTCCCGGAGGAGGTGGCTCTCTGGCTGCTGCCTCATTCGGCGCCCCCTTCTGTGTTCTCAGTCTCCCCTGACTAGTCCTTCGTCCCCCCAGTCCCATTGAAGCAGCCCCCCCCCCCCCCCCCCCTGCCCCCCACTGCAGGTGAAGGGAACTCGGCCTTGTCCCCGCTGAACCCTGGAGAGCTGCTGATCGCCTTACACAACATCGACTCGGCAAAGTGCGACATGAAGTCCATCATCAAAGGTGAGGACCCCCCCCACACCCCCTTACGTGCCTGGCCTCCACGGACCCAGGAAGAGCTCAGCTCCCCCATGCCTCCCGGGAACCCGCCAAGTCGGCCATTGTGCCACCTGCAGCTCCAGCTCAGAGCTCCAACACCCACCCTCATTTTCCCCTCCCTCCCTCCTCCTCCTCCTCTTCCTTTTCTCCTTCTAAGAACACAGTGCAAGTACTATGTGCTGGCACAGACTTGCCCTCGAGAAAGTTGGGGAGCCCCTCCCGCCCCAACCCTGGCCCAAGGAGCGAAGCAGAGCCTGCAGCCTAGTGTGTGGGGTGGGCAGAGGGCGCCAGGGCCCAGGTTGGCCCAGGAGGAGATGCCGAGTCCCTTCTGAGCTCCAGTTGCGGGTGGGGCGGGGGCGGGGGTGATGGTGACGAGCTCGCCACCATCAGCAGTTTCATGGTAGCTGCTGAGCCTTTTTCCTGAGTGCCCCCTGAGCCCGGCTCTCCCGGGTGCCTACAGGCTGCCTACCAGCCCACACCCATTACCTGGGGAGCATGCGGACTTCCATTCTGTAGACGAGGAAATGGAGGTCCAGAGAGGTTCAGTAACTTGCTTGGGGCCACACAGCACCCACGTGGTGTAGTAAATACAACAGAATCTGAAGTCAGTGGACCTGAGTTGGAGGCCCAGTCCTGCCGGTCCCACCGGTTCCACCTCTTCCTCTCGCTCGGCTCTCAGCACCCCTCCCTCCTTCCCCCTCCCCGAGGAGGTTTCTGGTCCAGAAGCCAAGCTTCCCTGCAGCGGAGGCGGACGCCCTTCCTGTCGCTTGCTCACTCAGAAGACACTGTGCTCTGATTCCTCCTGTCCCCTTTCAGAGGCGGTGGCGGTTCCCCTCTGTCCCTTTACTTCCAGGCCTGGCCTGAACGCTGCCCCAGCGGCTGGGTGCCTAGCCTCCCAGCAGGCTCTAGGCTGTAAGCCCACACCCGGGGAGGAGGCACCGCCTCCGGGGCCCTGCCCCTCCTGTGTGCCAGGCAGGCTGCGGCCCTGAGCAGAAAGGGGGCCGGCTTCCAAGAGAAGCTAGGATCTGGGTTTCAGGAAAACCACGATGAAACGAAAACCAACTTCCACCAGCCCCTCGGGGGAGGGTCTGGAAGCCGGGCCCGGGAGTGGGCTTACTCGCTCTGGCCGCTTTGATGACCTGAGGAAAGTTGTGGGCTCATTCCCGACGACGGTGAGCTCACACGGCTCTGTGTGCCATTTGAGGGGATTCACAGATCCCGCCACCCGCTGAGCCCATTCGTGGATCTGGGTATAGTGCCTGGTTTTCCACGTGAGAACCAAGCCCCTGGAGGTGTCCGCACGGCCTGGCCTTGAGAACGCCCCCGCTGCCTCCTGCCAGCCCGGCCCACAGCCTCCCGCTGCTGGCACTCCCGGCCAGCTGTCGTCCCCGCACCCAGTCCAGCCAGTGCCCAGCACGCTTCTCTGCTCAGGCACCAGTAACCCTACTTGACTATAAGCTCCAATTCACAGTCCAGTCCTGTTTTGTGCACCATCGAACCCCAGTAGCTGATAGTATTAGCAATGCCCCCATTAAACCACCCTTTCTCTGGTGAGTTTTTCTATCACTAGACCTGCCCTCAAGTCCAGTCCAGCGATTCACTCACTGAGCATTTCTGTTCAGCCCTGTGCTGGGCTGTGCTGGGAACACAGGGGGATAGAGACGGCTCTGACCCTGCCCTTGCAGGGGTCACAATCCATCCTCAGTGACAACTCAGTGAGCCAGGTTGGGATAGGGGAGCCCAGAGGGGCCACCTAGCCTCTGGTGAGGGACTTCAGGGAGGGCTTCCTGGAGGAGAGGACACCTGAGCGGAGGCCACAGAAGGGTGAGCAGGGGTGAGGCATCAGAAGAGAAGACCATCCCAGAGAAAGGAAGAAAAATTGCAGAGGCCAAGAGATGCACTTGCATAGCCTGTAATCCTTGGGAAACCCGCCTGGGCCCCCATAGGACTGGGTCTCGAGGGCCTCTGGGAGGTGCAAGGTCAGGTTGAGTTTGAAAAGACCCTTCAGCCTGCTGTGTGGAGGGTGGGTTAGAGGGCTGAGGGGGCAGCCTAGGCGGGGGAGAGGGGACGAGGCCGACTTGAGGCTTTGTGGCAAAATAGATGGGAGCTGGGACGGCCTGGAAGTGGGAGGAGCAGCCCCCTCAGTGTCCGGCAGGTGCTCCCTGGCACTTTCCTCACTTACACTGTCCGCTGCCCTTTGGCCTAGGTACCCGCCCTGTCCCCTGCCCAGCCTCCTCCCACCTGTCTGCCTGTAATTCTTCATCTTCCCCCTTTTCCTAACGGGAGCTGCCCCCTCTCCTTACAGTGCCCGCCCCTGTTCTCCATTAGCCTCGCAAGTATCGGGGGCCTTTCTTTTAGCTCAATAAAGACTTCCTGGTTGACAGACTCACATGGCCAGTGATGTTTGGGGAAGAGGGGGTTCAGAGGCAGTTGGCTGGGACCGCCCCATTAGCACAATGGATGGGACCACCACCCATCCCGCTCACGTCAGGGTGCCACCACCCACTCCCGAGGGAGCAGACCCCAGGCCTTCGTGGGTGCTTGTGTTGTGCCAGCCCTCCGTGGGCCCTTGCTGGCCTGGCAGCTGAGCTGGGAGCTGAGTGTATACCCAGGCTTCCTCACCCTCCCTATTCCTCTCTGGGTCGTGCCCCCACATACCCTAGGCTTGGTGCCCCAGCAGTAGCACATGCCCTGTGCCCTGAGGAGGGTTGGGTGTGGGTGGTCCCTTGCTGGTGGAGGGCCATCTCTCTTGTCCACTACGGGGTGTTTATGGAATTCAGAGCTGCCTTCCTGTCTAGTAGGGGTGGAGGTGCTGTGCTGCCCAAATCAAGCCAGAATGGGTCCCCAGCAGTTGACAGCGTGTCTTTCCTGCCTCGGCTCTCCAAGGGTTGTCCTCAGAGGAAGGGCCACAGTGTCCCCACGGTGTCCAGGCAGGAGCTGGCCATGTCTTCCCCCGGGGGCCAGGCCAGTCCCCTCAGGAAGAGACCCTCTGCTGGGGGGCGAGGGGGTGGGGGCAGTGTCCTGTTTTGCCCAGAGCTTCTGCAAGTTGGTCTGGGCCTGCACGCGGGCAGAAGGTGGGGCCAATGCTCTCTAAGGGTGGTGGCGCTCCCACCCCCCGGGGACAGCCGGGCAGAGAGGACAGGCCCACTCTCCGCCTCCTCGCAGCCACCAACCTGTGCTTTGCGGAGCGGAACGTGTACACGTCGGAGGTGCTGGCCGTGGTGATGCAGCAGCTGATGGAGCAGAGTCCCCTGCCCATGCTGCTCATGCGGACCGTCATCCAGTCCCTGACCATGTACCCCCGCCTGGGGGGCTTCGTCATGAACATCCTGTCCCGCCTCATCATGAAGCAGGTAACCCGCCCTGACCGTCCAGCCCCCCGGCAGTGGACTGGCTGCAGCAGGACACTCAGGTAGATGAGGCCGGACCGCAGGCTTCTCCAGACTGCCTGCCTCTCACCCCCTAGAGCAGCGGTTCTCAACCTGTGGGTCGCGACCCCTTTGGGGGTCAAACGACCCTTTCATAGGGGTCTCCTAAGACCATCAGCAAAAACATA